GGCCTGGAGCAAGCTCCTCCTTCCTCTGGGTCTCGGTCACTTGCCGAGTGAGGCCAGGGACGTCCCTGGGACTGTGGAGCCCCGGCTCTGGCTGAGCCCCCCCCCCCCCCACTCCGCCGCCCCGGGCTGGAGGAGGGTGGCGGTGCAGCCACACACAGCCGCCTCCCTTCCAGGGTCCTGCCGGCTGCTTCCTGGCCAGCTGCTTCCTGCTGGAGGAGGGCCCGGCCAGAGGTGGCTCTGCACACACGCGGGCGCACAGCCGCCTTCCGGCAGCCCCGGCGGCCCGAGCTGTGCCGAGCATGGGAGACCGGGCTCCTCACCAGCTGTGCGGCCTCAGGCCCCACTTCCCGGTGCATAGAGAGGCCGAGGGCCCCCGTGCTCGGGGACGGGGTGGGTAGAGCAGAAGCCAGGTCCCGGGCGGGGGAGGGCCCAGGAGGTGCTCAGGGAGGGTGGCCCTCTCCCTCTGCTGCCCGGTCCCCGTCAGCTGCTGCCGCCACTGCAGCCGGGGGGTCAGGAGGAGAGCCCAGCTGCTTCTGTGCCCGTCAGCTGCCTGCCCGCCCCCCCCGGGACATAGGACAGTGTGCGGTGCTCAGGCTGGCATTCAGGGCCTCCGGGCTGTGCCCCCCACCCCGGCTGCCTCCTCGGGCAGTTCCACCCAGGCCGCTGCGAGGGGCGGTCTGGCCTCCTCAAATCCCAGCCTCAAGGCCCAGCGGAGACGCCACCTGCCCTGACCCCCGGCATCTGCTCAGCAGCAGCTCACGGCCCCTGCTGCACGCAGCCCGGCCCCAGCTCCTTCCTGCCCTTCACGCTTGGGCTCAGTGCCAGGGGCACTTGGGCAGCCGTGCTGTCTGGAGGAGAGGGCCAGCTGGGGGAGAGGGTGGCAACAGAGGCCTTTGGGGCCTGCAGCCAAGCTGGCCAGGTGTCCCGGGGGCCAGGGGGTGGGCTGCGAGGAGGCGATGGGGGAAGGGGGGCTAGGTGTTTCCTGACCCAAGTGAGTAGTTGAGGGTGGAGGCCAGCTGGGGGTACTTGGACACCGAGATCCTGGAGCCCCAGGATGTTTTGACGGTTTGTGGGCTGGTGTGGCAAGACATTCAGAAAGCCTGGAAACTCCAGGGTGTGCGGTCACCGCGGTGAGGCAGCTGACATAGCGTGGCCCACATCCGCCTGTCTGTGGAGGTGGGGGTTGTTGGCAGAGGAGGGAACTGCCTCCCAGGGGTGAAGAAGCTCGCTCGGGGTCACGCAGTGGGAACAGGATGCAGGTCCACAGATGCCGTAGCTCAGACCCACGGCCAGGAGGCGGGGCGGAGGAGCCAGCCTGCTGCCACGTGCCCTCTGTGTGGCCTGGGGGATGTCCCAGGCCCGCAGCGTGGCTGCCTTCTTGCTCCTCCCGCACCCGGGCGTCTGTGGCACTGAGCCGGGCAGCTGGGGGACGTCAGTGGCAGCGGGGGCGAGGCCGGGAGGGCTGGAAGCAAACCACTTCCCGAAATAGCTCCGATAAGCACAGGGCGGGAGGGTCAGCCAGGCCCCGGTCTGCTGCCTCCCTCTGTCCCTCCGTCCCTCCTCGGGAGGCTGTGTGGCCCAGGTCACGCCAGGGAAGGGGAGGGGCAGCAAGCTCTTTGCCTTCTCAGGAGCCTTTGAGATGGTCACGGGTGGAGTCTCGGGGCCTTTCCTCTGGAAACCTGAGGGCAGGCAGGTGGGATGGGGCCACAGCAACAACTGGGGACTGGCACCTCCGGGCCCAGAGGGCTCAAGCCCTTGGGGGTGGCCGCCAAGCCCCTGAGGCTCCTGGCCACCCTGATCCTGGGGACAGCCCAGGTGGAGGAGGGAGGGGTGCAGGTGTGAGGGGAAGGGAGCAGGTGTGGCTCCTCCTGAGGATCCCACCCCACCCCACCCCACCCCACCCCACCCCAGGCTGCGAGCGGGATCGCCTGTCCTTCGGCTTCTGTGAGACCCTCCGCCTGCTGGGCCGCTGCCAGCTGCCTGCCGTCCGCACCCAGTGCTGCCGCTCCTGCCCCCTACCAGGCCACGGGGTCCCCTCCCGCGGCCATCAGCGTGTCGCCCGCCGCTGACCCACTCCAGCCAGGCCAGGCCGCACGAACAGACCGTCCCAGACGCACGGACCTCATGCCCCAGTGCGGGCTGCACCCCAAAGGTGCTAACCCGGCCCGCTGACGGCGGGCTCGGGATCTCTCACCCCAAGAAAGGTATTTTTTTAACAGTCTGCAGAACGTTATTATTGTTATACATAAATGAGCACTATGGTTTCGAGCACGGCGTGACTTCCTCTTGGATTGGGAGAATTTCAGGTCAGACCCCCCTGGTCTCTATCCTCCTGACTCACCACCCTTCACGTGCTCCTCGGGGAAACCCTAGAATAGGTGCTTGGGGGCCTCCTTGGGAGGTGTTATGGCGGGAGTACAGCTTGGCGAAGGCGGGGGTGGGGCGGGGGTCTTGGGCCACGCTCTTTCTGCCCCTTCAAGTCGCTCACCCACCCCCCACGTCTCCACTCCAGGAGAGACCTGTGTTTCACAATGAATGGGTCACACCCTCCCTCGAGCAGTAAGGCCCTCTGGTCTCCAGCAGGGGCTGTCCCCTGGGATGATTGCGATGGGGTCCGGGACTCCCTATCTGGTTCCTGGATGATGGCGATGGGGTCCGGGACGCCCTGTCTGGTTCCTGGATGATGGCGATGGGGTCCGGGATGCCCTGTCTGGTTCCTGGCCCTCGCCACTTCGGCTGTTAACTGCACCAGGGGGAGAGACGGGGTCCAGGTGGGAGCAGATGGGCGGCCACATCCTTCCTGGTCCCCGCTTGTCCCTTTCCCACATCTCCATGTTCAGAGACAGATTTGGGGGGGGGGGCGTTCTGCCCCGCCAACCCCAGCTGCTGGGCTCCTGTGACGCTGACCCATGACCTAGCACCTGCCCACCAGAGCTCCCTTCTTGCCGGACAGACCTAGGTCCGTGGAGGCAGGCGTGAACAGCAGATGGCAGGTGGGCACCAGGTGCTCTGGGGAGTG